GAAAGATCTAATACGCTGGAGAGATGTTTGGTGATCAGGTTTCAACCGCTTGGGCAAGAAGTTTTCTCAAGAGACCAGTTGTGCGGGTTTAGGAAATGGGCGGAGAAGAATTGGGCTATTGATTCCAACTTTGGATTGGAGGAACTTGATGATGGTCGGTGGTTGCTAGTCTGCCCAAGTTTACGCGAGCTGATGAGGATTAACAGTGTCGCTAGTAACCAGTTCAAGAATTTTTATGTCTCGACCTCGCTGTGGAGAGAAGCGGCGGAGGAACCTCTTCTGCTTGATGATGCGTGTTGGATTATGGTTTTCGGTATCCCGTTGCATGTTAAAAGTGTTAATCTCATCAGAACCATTGGGGAATACTGTGGAAAATTGCTGGAGATTTATTGGAATTCTTGGGTGTCTTCCCATGTTCGCATGAAGGTATTATCTAATGGGGTTATACCTACTTCAATCCCCCTGGTTTTTGAAGAACAGCGTTTCTATGTGAAGGTTAGGTCTCTGCCGGCGATAGTATCGGGTAATTTCCATGGGGTGGAGTAGGGAGTGAGGGGGGAGAAGTCGAAAGGGCAGGAAGAGGATCGTGCTTCACAATGCATGGGGGGCGCGCTAAGCAAGAATGGTTCACGCGAATGCAAGGGGAAACCGAAGAGGCAGCCTCGGAGGTCGAGTCTCCACTCGGTGGAGAAATTGTCGTGTTTGCATGGGGGAGAAAAGAAGGATTTATCCAGTAATAGGGCTGGAGTTTCCTCAAGTCATTCTAAGAAGTATTGGGTCCGGAAATTTGGGCCGCTGCCCAGGCCCACTTCTGCTGAGCCGGGTGACAGGCTTGCTGAGCCCTTTGGTTATCCTGATGAAGTAATTAATTTGGGCCTTGTTAGTTGCTGCTCTAATGGCCCTTCTGGGCCCAATTCTGGCAGGCTGGACGGGGGCAGGCAGGCTGGACGCGGGCAGGTGTGAAGCAGTAGGCCGATTCTTCTTGTTGGACTTAAGCCGTGGCAGACTGGGCAAACAGGTCGGTTTCCAAATCATTTTCGCCAATTTCCCTGTCTTTCTAGAGGAATTTTCTTCGGTTTCCATCTCTACAAGGAGGCTGCTGTTCCCAGGCAAATCTGTAGTGTTCCGCTGGATTCATTTGGGACTTCTTGAAATCAATGTTGAAGAAGATTTTACTCCCTCAAGGCGGGTGGAGTTATTGGGAGACATAATGGAGGATGATGAGACGTTTCCTCTGGTTTCCTTCCCCGCCATTCAGAATGAGTCGGCGCCGGTTTCCCCATCGCAGTTGGACTATGAGGTTGGTAGTTGCACAGATTTTGACTTCCCCTCTCCGTCTTGTATTGCTGATAGTCAGCCAAGGGTTTGGAGCCAGGACTTATTCCCGTTCGATCTGGGTACTTTGGAATCTACAAGTATTGAGCTAGGGACTATTTTTTCTCTGGATGGATCGGGTGAACAGGTTGAAGTTGAGCGGGTTATCAGAAACCAAGCTAGGGATTTACACCAGAGGAAGGTTCGCCCGGGCAGAACGAAGTTGGAAATGGAAAGGTTGCGTCTCGGGCCGGTTGTGGCGAATCCTCTAGGATCTCGTAGGCGGCCGAGGAGGGTTGATTGAGGTTTTTTTTTCTTGTCTATCATGGGTATGTCTGTTCTAGTGTGGAATGTGAGGGGGCTTGGTGACAGGGAGAAGAGAGCCAGAATTAAGAGGTTTGTCAGCGGTAGAAGACCTAATATTGTGGGTTTGGTGGAAACGAAATGGAATAACTGTGACGATTCTTTGATCCGGAGTGTTGGCGGGGTGATGGATGCAGGTTGGGCGGTCAAGAATGCAGATGGTAGTGCTGGTGGGATTGTTATATTCTGGGATAAACTCCATGTTAACGCCTTTGCTAGCTCGGTTGGCAGATTTTTTCTGGAGATCAAGTTCCAAGAGGTTGAGTCGCAAAAGGTTTGGAATTTGGTGGTTGTTTATGGTCCACAGGACAGAGAGGCTAAGATTGAATTTCTTAATGATATTCGTATTATCGGGCACAATTGCCAGGACCCTATATGTGTTGTGGGGGATTTCAACTTAGTAAGATGTCATGAAGATTATAGGGGTACAAGACGCAACAACAACCTTATGGCTGAGTTCAATAATGTTATCGACGACTGTGGATTCTTGGAGCTCCCACTTGGGGGGAGTAATTTTACTTGGTGCAAAGGAGGAGATAGTAATTGCCTTTCTCGGATTGATCGAGCCTTTGTTTCTGGAAGTTTCGATGATTTGTTTCCTGATTGCTCTCTATCTGCACTCGAACGAATTGTTTCTGACCACAACCCGCTGATGATAAGATGGGGTGACAGTTCTAGAGCGCATAGGCCATGGAGATTCGAGAATATGTGGCTGGAGGACGGCAGGTTCTTCACAGGTCTAAGCAGTTGGCTTGCGGAGCCGGTTCAGGGTCATGGTATGGTCTTTCGGTGGTCTAGAAGATTACAAGCCCTCAAGAACAAAATTAAGGTCTGGAATCGAGAGGTTTTCGGGGACCAGAATAAGAAGCTCGAGGAGCTTTCTGCTGCTGTCCACTCTATTAATCAGCAGGAAGAGACTCGGTGCTTGAGGGTTGAGGAGTATATCTCGCGGGAGTGTTTGCTCGTTGAGATAGGGAAGGTGATGGACTTGTTGGAGATTTTGTGGCGTCAGAAGTCCAAAGAGTTGTGGCTGCGGAAGGGAGATAGGAATTCAGGTTATTTCCATAAGGTTGCAAATTATAGAAGGAAGGTGAATCGCATTGGCTGCATTAAAATCAATGGTTTACTTACTGAAGGAAGGGAGGATGTTGCTAAGGCATTCGACAATGTAAACTAGAATTGTTTGTTTCAAATCTTATCTCACATGGGCTTCTCGGAGTAGTGGCAAAAGTGGATCAAGGGTTCTATGTGCAGTCCTAAAATCTCAGTTCTCGTGAATGGGGAATCAAAAGGGTATTTTGATACTCAGAAAGGTTTGAGGCAAGGAGACCCTTTGTCTCCCGGTTTGTTCACTCTGATCATGGATGTGCTTTCCTTTATGATCTCTATGCTCAGAGATAGTGGGAAACTATCGGGGTTCTGTATGAATGAAGAGAGAGGTGGGGGGGAAGTCACTCATTTGCTGTTCGCCGACGACACGTTAATTTTTTGTGACGCGGAGTATGGGCAGGTCGTCAATATTCTTGCTACTCTCGTGTGTTTCCAGGCAGTCACGGGGCTCAGGATTAATTTGGATAAATCTGTTATGTTCACTGTCGGGGATGTCCCAGATCCTGATTTCTTTGCCTCTATATTTGGGTGCAATTGGAGTAACGAGGTGACAAGATACTTGGGGTTCCCGTTAGGGGCTAAGCCCAACACTACTTCGCTGTGGAATCCTATTGTGGATAAATGCAAGAAGAGGCTCGAAGGATGGAAGGGCAGGTATCTTTCTTTTGGAGGAAGATTAACCATGATTAAGTCCGTGCTCTCGAATCAGGCAATCTATTATTTCTCCCTCTTCCGTGCTCCATCCTCGGTTATCAGAAGTTTAGAAGGCATTCAAAGAAGGTTTCTGTGGAGTGGATCGGGTGATAGGCTGAAACTTCCTCTAGTGAGTTGGGATACCTGTAAAGCCCCAATTGCCCGGGGTGGTCTTGGGATTATGGATTTAGCGGCTTTTAATAGAGCAATGCTGGGGAAGTGGTTATGGCGCTTCGCCACGGAGAGGGACAGTTGGTGGAGGGAACTGATTACCGTTAAATATTCGCATCAGCATTCGGAGTGGGGTTCCGTGAGAAGCAGGCAAGGGTTTTCAGGGTCGGTTTGGGCAAATATCTCTAAGGAGTACGATAACTTTTGGCGAATGGCTAGTATTGATCCCGGCAATGGCAGTTGGGTTTCCTTTTGGCATGATTGCTGGATTCCAGGTGTTGTGCTTGCAGAGTCTTTCCCAAGAGTTGCGGCCGCCTCTAGCTTTCCGAATGCCAGGGTCTCTGAAGCCATAGAACTCGCAGGTGAGAGTTTCTCTTGGTCTGTTCCTTTGATTACTTTTCTGAGAGGGGGGCTGAGAGAGAAAGGGTTGCTCTTATGACCCAAATATCTTTTATCAAAATTATTTCACTTAGAAATACATGGCAGTAAACTCAAGAATTAAATATAAAGAGGCGATGCAAAGAGAAGTATATATGTTTTAAGGCAGCACATCGATAAATATAAAACTTTAAAGTTTATCAACTCTAACTATGTAAACGAATAACAAGGCTAGTGATTAAAGTAATAGATTTGTTGCTGGGAAAAATGTATATTAAATACTTCGAGGCATTATCAAGGGTATGTTTGGGTATTCTCATGTTGTAACAATCCAAATCCACCACAACGTTCTCAATTTTGAAAATTGAAAACCACAACCACTAATATTACGGGTGTATCAGTTTGGATTGGAAGATTGAATCAATTTTCGACTTGTTTTGTTCACCCTTACACTTGTTTGGAAGTTTGAGTATTATGTTCTGATGAAATATATAAAATACATCGTTACACCAGTCCACCGATGATTATGATTAGAAAGATGTAAACAGATAAAAGTTACCAATTATGTTATGCAAGTGATGATTCGACCGAAACAAGGAAAAGGTTAATAATTAACCACGTGCTATCTGCTGAGGATGATTAGAAAGGTGTAAACAAATTAAAATTACCAATTAAGTTATGCAAATGATGATGTCGACAGTGATGATTCCAAACAAGGAAAAGGTTAATAATCAACCACGTGCTGATGATTATGATTAGAAACTAGAAAGGTGTAATCAAATAAAAAATTACGGGTTAATTGCAAGGGTGGTTACTGGGTTTACTACAACCGTTCATGTTTGGTCACTGCAAATATTTAATTCCATTCATGGTCAATAAGATTAGTTCAATAGTTCAAGTTTGGTCACTCTCCGTTAGTCTCCGTTAGTTTTTGCTAATGTGGCAGTCAACTATCGCCGCCTGAAGAAGTCCTAAAGCAGCTGTTGGACTTTGGGAATCCTCGTCGAACCGCCGACCAGAACGATGTCGTCTATCTGCCCCTTGTCAATCCTAGCATTGCAGAGGCACTTCTCCACCGGCTCCATACACCTCCTAAACAAATCCATGTTCAATTCTTCAAACCGAGCTCTGGTAATGGTGGAGTAGAAATCGATCCCTTCGTAGAGGGAATCGATTTCGATTGTGGTTTGGAAAGTGGAAGACAAAGTCCTCTTCGCCCTCTCGCAGGCAGTTCTCAGCCGCCTCAGAGCTCTGGTGTTGGTACTGATATACTTCTTGTTCTTCCGCTTGAACTCCGCCACTAAGTGACTCACCAGCCGGTTGTCGAAATCCTCACCTCCCAGATGCGTGTCGTTGACGGTGGCCTTCACTTCGAATATCCCTTCCTCGATCGTCAGCAGAGAGACGTCGAAAGTTCCTCCGCCGAGATCGAAGATGAGGACGTTCTTCTCGCCGCGACTCGACGCTTTCTGTTTGTAGTTTTAGATGGCCACGGTTGCGTACATGGCGGAGGTAAGTTTTATTTTTATTTTTTAATAGTTGTAAAATGAGTTGGAAATTGTAAATATTTAAATTTTATTTATTTTTTAATGGCCACGTCACTCATTTAACGGTCAACTATAATAGTTGACTGCCACATCAGCAAAAACTAACAGAGACTAACGGAGAGTAACCAAACTTGAACTATTGAACTAATCTTAGTGACCATAAATGGAATTAAATATTTGCAGTGACCAAACATGAACGGTTTTAGTAAACCCAGTGACCATCCTTGCAATTAACCCAAAAAATTACCAATTAAGTTATGTAAAGGGACGATGTCGACCGTGATCATTCCAAACAAGGAAAAGGTCAATAATTAACCACATGCTTCTGTATTCATTGATATTTAGAATTATAGTTCAATTAATTAGAATTATTTTTTATAATTGTATTTTATTATTAATAAAGGAAACAAAATAAATTATTAATTAATAATTCAACATATCAACCTCCTGAGTTGATTTTGTTATCGGTTAGCCACCAAGTAACTGCTAACTGAATCGATAACATGCGGTTAACTAATAACCCCTAGTAAATAACATAGTTATATAGAACTGTGAGCACGTGTTAAGGAGCTTACGCAGATCGGTTGGATAAGTTTTGACCATTTTTAACAACTCAACTAATGAGTCTGGATTGTATGATGGTAAACCCAAACCCAATTCATTAATTTCAAAATATTAAGGATTTCTTAGTCATATATTGGTCATATTAATTGGGTGAAAATTCAATGCACAGTATACCGAAAATAAGGGTATAAATGACATATTTGGTCACTGAGATTACAAAATCATGTCATATTTAGTCACTAGAAAAAATTAATATCAATTTTGTTCACTCGAATTCTTGAAATCTGTCACGTTTAGTCACTCCCCCGTTAGTTTCCGTTCAACTACGTTAATGGAGTTGGACGGAGGCTAACAAAGAGTGACTAAATGTGACATGTTTCAGTACTTCGAGTAATATTCATAAAAAAAGTAATTCGAGTGACCTGAGTTGGATGGAGGCTAAAGGGAGAGTGACTAAATGTGATATTTTTAGTAATTCGAGTGACCAAAATTGATATTAATTTTTTCTAATGACTAAACATAATACGATTTAGTAATCCCAGTGACCAAATGCGGCATTTACCCAGAAAATAAGATATTATAATAACATGTTGCGTTCATAGTAGACAAAAGAATTGTTTGAGCCCCGATACCACGTCACCGAACTCGCTCCTTTGACAGTAGGTGCCTGGCCTACACACAAGAACACAGAGGGAGGCGCCCGGGCTCGTTAGCCCTCCGACGATCAAGTCAGTTCCCTTTATAGAGAGAGAAGTGTGTAGTAAGAGAGTTTAGTGAGAGAGTCCAACTTGTGTAAATTCTACCAACTGCCCCTATTTATACTCACCCAACTCGAGATTGATCTCTTTCACGTCATCGTCGCATTTAAAGCCTTGTACCTTCATTCTTGTCAGATGCCTCAACCGCCTTGTCAGGCTTCTGACGACTGACAGGCGTCTGCAGGTGGGGGACCGTTTGACAGCCTCGACTTTTTTGGAGCCTTTGGTGCTTTGTCTTCATGCGTTTTCCATCCTGCATGTAAAGGGTTTCGTGGGCCTATTTATGGGCTTCTCCTACTGGGTAGCCCATCCCTGTCTCAATGGGTTTATTTGGTCCCCTCTTTGGGCACTCTTTGTAATACCCCCAACAATTGCCCCCACTTAGGATCTCAAGTTCCCAAAGCTTGAGGGTCTGACTATACTGTCTCGTCTCAACACTGGAATAAGGTGCCCATTGTGTCTCTTGGCAGGTGCCTGGTTCTGTCAAGGTGGGGCGTTTCCTCCCGAGCAAATTTTTCATACTTGGGCGCTTGGACATTGTGTTCCATTTGTCCACTGCTACCCTTGCCAATCTAGGCGCCTAGCTTTTGCAAGATGCCCCCCTTTCCACTTTCCTAGGCGCCTTAGTTTGGGTGTGCTTCATTTGGACTTAGTTATTTTTCCCTCTTGTTGACTTAGACGCCTAGCTTGCGCGCTCACTTTTGATAATAACTAATTTTGGCCTGTGCAAAATTACCCCCCTCCCCCCCTTATACGATTTATTTTTTCCCTCTTGTTGACTTAGACGCCTAGCTTGCGCGCTCACTTTTGATAATAACTAATTTTGACCTAATACGATTTATTTTTCCCTCTTGCTTCCCATTATTACCTTAGGGGCCCTGCTTGCACACTCCTTTCTGACACTGATTGCCCCTTTTCCTCCCGTAGGTGCCTCTGTTTAAGGTGGCGTGTTAACCTTTGCCCCCCTCTCGGGCAGTTTTTTTTTAATTCAAGATTTGAAAATTCAAATTTTGAATTTTGAAATTCAAACAACTGCCCGAGATCGTAACACGTGGCTAACAGGCGCGGATCCCGAGGCGTTTTCCTCTCCCCTCCTATAAATACTTCCTCCTCCCTCATTTTGTCCTCCTCACTTTTCAACACGCCCTCTCTCTATAACTTTTCTCTAGCCGCCGTCGGGCCTATCATCTGCAACTTGCTCCCGCTCGCACCTTCCCCAACCATGTCTGCCTCGCAAAACCAAACCGATGGTTCAGGCGCTGCTCCTGATCGAGGCGCCCCGTCGAACTGCGGTAAGCAGCCTTTGCTTACTTGATTCTATCACCGTATTTCGCATTCTGAGTTGTTGCTTTGAGGATGGGCACCTCGTGGGTCCTGATAGGCGCCCCCTGTTTTCTAGCCTCTTCGTACCGAGACCCACCTCTCGTAAAGCTCTCTCAAGACTTCCTCCTCCTGTTTGATTTTGAAGAGGGCGCCTATGGTCAGGGAACGTTGTTTCCGGCTAGCAAATTTCGCCAAGAACATTGCCGCGAATTTCTCGAAGCACTCTATGCGCCCTTCCTTAATTTGGTGGTACCAATCAAGCACCACGCCTACGTAGGTCGATGGGAATACCTTGCACAAGGTGGCATCAAAGCTATTGTAGATTTGCATCTTTGTGAAGTGATAGACCATTAATTACACATGTTTTTACCTCCCGCAGTATAACTATCATTAAAACTGAACTTGGTAAATTGCAATTCGGCTTAACTGCAGTCTAGGGGGAACCATATCCGGGTGACCTCTCTCGACTTGAAAACAACCGTTTAACTGTTTGCTTGTTTGGTAATTTGGGCTTGCACTAAAGTTTCACTACTATATAATAAGAATTCACTGAGTAGTCATCACATCTAGGACCCGGGTTGATATTAAAACCCAAACCCACTATACTATGCTTTAGGAAGTGGTTACACTTGGCCATTTTCTAGAGTGACAATAGGAGTGAGTCAAGTTTGTGGCGCCGTTGCCGGGGACGGCTAGGTTGTTGAAGAAAAGTGATTTCTGTTACTTTAGCATTTTCATTTTCGCATTGACTGTTTGTTCTTTCCCACTTGTGCCTTCACGGGTTTGCAATGCTTGACTCTGTGCAGATAGTGCATGACCCGTAGCCAGTCGGGAGGTTTACTGCTGTTGGATCCGGAGCTTGAACGCACCTGCCGCCAACTTAGGAGACAACAGCGAGCTAGACTGGCTACGAAGAGCGCATAGACGGCCACTTGAGCAGCGATTCTGAGGAAGAGTACGAGATGGAAGGCGAATACAACCCATCCCATAGGAATCCTCTCCAAGTTCCCCCGGTGAATCAGTTCTTGGGGAACAACCCCATACCCCAGGCAGATGGGGTTCATCATCATCCACCGCCGCCGGGTCCCACCTTGGAGTACTACTACACTCCACGGATTGCTGATATCCGCCCTGCCATCCTCTACCCGCCCATCCCAGCAACCAACTTCGAGATTAAGCCATGCTGGATTCAACTCATTACATCCTCTATCCAGTTTCATGGCTTGAAGGATGAAGGCAAGGGTGCATCTTTCCCGTTTTCTGCAGCTGACGAACGGGTTCAACCTAACGGTGTCCCTGATGACGCAATCCACCTTCACCTCTTCCCCCATTCTCTGGCGGGGAATGCTAAGAGGTGGTTGGAGACCCAGCTCCCATTGTCCATTACCTCTTGGGACGATCTGGCTGATAAGTTCGTGCACAGGTACTATCCGGCATCGAAGACTACAGAGATCCAGCGGGATATCACTCACTTCCGCCAAGAGCCAGATGAGTCACTTCGTGATGCATGGGAGCGGTACATGGAATTTTTCTGGCAGTGTCCCCATCACGGCTTCAGTGATGCATTCACCGTGGGGAACTTCTATAGTGCCCTATCTCCAGACAGCCAGAGGGTGATTGAGTCTCTATGCCCGGGAGGGGATATTCTTAATAAGACTCCACCCGAGCTGAACCAGATGATCAGTACATTGGCTGCCAGAGATCACTCCTGGGGGCAGAGCAGCAGAGACAGAAATTCCTGGGATCGTGGTGTGCGCGCCATGAAGGCTAGGTACGGGCTCGAGCAGCAGGTGGCCGAGTTAGTGCAGACATTGAAGCAGCCCAACAGTCTTATTCCGGGCCAAGGTTTGGCTACGCCTCCAGTAGCTCAATGTCAGTGGTGTGAGAGCCCGAATCATCTAGTGGAGGACTGTCAGGCTATGCGGGAGTCTTCTACTCCCTAAGAACAGGTGGACTTCATCGCCAATGCTCGGCGCGTTGACCCATACAGCAACACATACAACGAGGGGTGGCGCCAGCATCGCAACTTCGCTTGGGGTAACAACACCACTAAACCACCTGGTTTCCCAGCACCAACGGGTGTTTTTCAGCAGAGGCAGCCCTTCCAGGCTAGGCAGGGACCACCACCACAGCAGCAGCCCTACTAGCCTAGGCAGAGGCAACCATTCCAGCAGCCCCAACGTCAGTATGCCCAGCCTCCAGCAGCTGCTGCTCCAAATAATCAGA